TATCCAATTTTTCAGCTTCTAATCTGTATTTCATTTCTTTTGTTGCATTTTATTTTTTATTATTACCTTTTATTGCATTCATATTTATTTTATTTTTCATTATCATTTTTCATTACTTTTTATTTTTTATTATTACCATATATAGCGGGCCACAGTACCCTGGGTATCTTGCAAAAATCGGGGTTTAATCCTGTACCCCTGGGTACTAAACAAAGCCTAAAAATTCCGTTTTTTGCGAATATCTCACGATCTACCAGTCCAATTTGAATGATCTTTTTTTTATTTTGAAAAGCTCAATGAGAGCTATCAAACAAAAAAATGATGGCTCAAATCTAATCACTGGATCACAAGATAATTGTAAAATACCCCCAGGTACTATACAATTCTATAAAATTTTTCAAGAGGGGTACTATGCATAGGGAGGATACTATAGCCCACGATATACAGTATTTTTCATTATATTTCATTTTTCATTTTTCTTATCACTTTCCTTTTAGTTTATTTCTATTTTTTTAATTTATCTTTTTTTTCCTTTATTCTTCTTTAATTTTATACTTTATCCTTTTTATTGTATTCTTCATATGGGCTGATTTGTTTACTCTGCATTAAAAAGAGTTATTGAATTGATCTTCACAATTTTTGTTACTCAAAATTGTTTTGTAATACCAAAAAATCATCTGATTGATGATCACTTGACTAAATAATAAGTTGAGCAAAAATTTACATTTGCGAAACTTAAATTATTAAATGTAAAAGAGCTGTAAAAAAACCCATTTCACTAATAAAAAACCCATTTCTCATATATATGGAATTTTTAACATATATTATTAAAAAGTAAGTATATTTTAATAAAATATAAAGTAAAATAAAAATTTATTTAGTCTTAGTAGCTATAAATGTTTATAAAAGTATAATAAAAATATCATATAAAAGATGGTATCATAATAGATATTTTCAAACAATAAAAATAATTATTTTATGTTGGAGTTTGTATTACCATCTTTAAACGCAAATATATCAAGATTCACTGATCCGTTTTCTATAATTTTAGGCTTGTTGGAAAGCCCTTGTTCTGGACTTTATAGGCGAAAAAAGAGCTCGTCGATTGAATCATTAGATCCGGAGATATTTACGTTTAAAGTTGAGGTACGAACTTTTTAACATGCCTAAATGCAAATATCTTGGGATCCACTGATTTATCTTTTATAAATTTAGGCTCTTTGGAAAGCCCTTGATCTGGTCTATATGAACGAAAAAAGAGCTTGCCGATTGGATCATTGGATCTGGAGATATTTACGTTTAAAGTTAAGATACAAATTTTTAACATATATAGTAAATACTAAGAATTATATTAATTTAAAAGAAATATTTACCAATTTATAGTATAATAACATTAAATAAAAATTTTTTAATACTCATCTCCAATTTACTGTATATTATATAGTATTTTGTATAATAAAAATGTAATAAAATCAATATTTTAATTAAAGGTAGACAAATCAGCTCATATGTTTTTGTTTTTTCTTTATGTATTATAATAGAATTTTATTTACTTATAATAAAGATCACCATAGAAAATTGGCCCTTTATTAATGATTTTTACCTTACTTTTTTCATAAATTCTATCAGTTAATTAGCTAAAAAAAAAAATTATAACAATGTAACATAAAATTTTCTTTCATAATAGGATTTGTAAAAAATTTTATATATGATTTTTATCTTAAATTTAAAGGTGATCTATAAGTAAACAGAATCCTATTATAATATTTGTACTAAAGTATTATTGTAATGTAATTTAATAAAGTCAATTTTTATTGATTAATTAAATTAATAAAATTGAAAAAATTAGCCAATAAAATTTTTATATAATCACATGATATGTATTTTTTAGTTTTTTATTAAATTTTTTTTTTTATTATATTCTTTTTTTGAAATAATCAGCAAAATGATTGGTATAATATTATTTTTATATATTAAATTTAAGGAATTAAGAAATTACTTAAATAAAAAATATTTTTTCTTCAATATATATATATATGCTTAAGGTTGCTTGTCTAAACCTCTTCAAAATCCTACGATTAGTTTCGTCAAAATTTTACTATAGATTTATTATAGTTTCGGCAGAGTTTCGGCAGTTTTGGCATTTATAATAAGTTTCGGCAGTTTCACTTTTCTCCAAAGGTTCGCCAGTTTTTTAATATAACTTTAATATAGTTTCGGCAGAATTTCACTTTTTGGCAAAACGCCATCTTGCCTAAACCCCTAGGTTTCGGCAAGCAACCTTATATATGCTATCCAAATTATTTTGAAATATATTTGGATTTTAGAATGCTGTAATTCTATGTAATTTATTATATAAAGTGCCAAAGATATCATAATTAAATTCGGGATTTTATTTATAATTATAGCAGCTCAAAATAATTTAGATAGTAATATAAAATTTAAAAAAAAATATTTTTTATTATATATTTTGCTATATAATAATTAATTATAAAAAAATGAAATATAGCTTATTTAAATTGTTTTAAAAATGATATAAATTATTTTAAATTAATATTTAAATTAATATTTACAGATTTAATTTTAAATAAAAATTATAGTTTAATAATTATCAAATTTTAAATAAAAATAATTTTATTATATTATGAAATTATTAAATAATTTTAAATTTAATTAATTAAATTAGCAATATAATAAGAGCAGTAATATATATTAGTTAATATTATTTTAATAGTCAGTAAGATTTTATAACCAATTATAACTATTTTACATGGTTTATATTATGTGTAATTTAAGATTTTCTTTTACTCTTCTATCCTCTAAAATATTAGTCATTACCCTACTAACTTAATGTAAAATATAAGAATATTTAGCATTTTTTTTTAAAGAAAATAATATTTCTTATTTAAAGAAATAATTATAAAAATAGACTTATATTAAATAATTACATTCTACTTATCTGCATTCTATAAGTTAATTAAATATCGTAGTTATTATTTATAAACAACTTATAATATACATTTATAAATTATATAATTAAAATTTATATTATTACTATATACAACCATTAACTATTACTTTTATTAATTTTACATTATATATATATATAATAGATATATACTTAATAAATAAAATTTTTGAAATGATTAATAAGCAGAAAAATAATACTAATTTTTTCTATAAGTATTAATAATTTTTTATTTATTTATAAATAAAGTTTTTTGTAAATTAATATATACAGTCATCCTTCCATATAATCACACCCTTTGGGATCATAAAAAAATGGTGTGACTATAAAAATTATATATGATGTGATTAAAGGGAAGGTTTTTTTAATAAGTTTATTAGTAACTTGGGATTAATGTAAATGTGCTTATAAGGGAGTTGTGATTATACAGGGGGTGACTATATAGGAGGACGACTGTATATATAATATATATAATTTTTTTTATTTAAATTTACTGGAAGTAGTAATTTTATTAGAAATAATTTACATAAAATAAATATTCTTATAATAGCAATTTATATATATACCAGTTAATATAATTTATTAAAAAAAAACCTCCTATTTATAAAATATATTAAATATTATATATATTATATATATGATATATTATTTCTAAAAAATTATATAACTTTTTATTAAAAACTATTTAATTAATTCAAAATATTAAATCAATTATATTATATAATAATAAAATCTTTTCAGTTATGCTTATGATTATTTTTTAATAATAATAATAATTTTTTTATTTTCTTTAATTTTTTAATATAAATCTTCTATTTTATTTAAACTTTTAATATTTTAGATTCTAGTTGTGTAATTTACATATATGGATTTTTTTTAAGCATTTCATTTTTTTAAGCATTTTTTACCATAGTTTTCCTTGCACTTATAATAACTATACATAATAGCTTATTCAGTTATACTGTAAAAACCTATAATATTAATATAGTTTTAACAATATTAACCCTTTAATAATATTTTTGAATACTCAACTACAATATAAAAAGAGTTAACTAAAACTTTTTATCAATAAAGAGCTACCATCATTTCAATAAAGTCCCCCAATGTTTATAGTTATTAAAATAGATTTTATTTATTATATTATTGTTTTTAACTTTTTTTATGAATAAATAAAATCTCTATTTATAAAAAAAGCACTATCATTATTTTAATATAAATATTATACAATTCATATACCATATAATACTTTAAGAATGAAATTAATATAATGTAAAAGCTTAGTTAATAATAACTTTTGTGAATATATATATATTGTATTATTGCATTTTATTTAAAAGGATTAAATTTTAAAATTTGAAAAAAATTTGGCTTGCAAATATAAAACTTTCTTAAAGCTTGAATATTCTAAAATCTGTTACTTTTGTCTTTTTTAAAAAAAAAGAGGATATAACAATAAAACAATTGTAAGATATATTGTCAGGTCACATTACATCACATCTGGCGCCTCACCTGATCTCAAAGTTTTTTATAAACTTAAACTTGATTATTAATATCACGTTACCTGTAATATCGTACGATACGATCAACGATCGAGACCATGAAAATTTCATATATATCATAATCTAGCCATTTGTGGGTTTACTGTTTGATAGTTATTTATTTAGTAACGCGATTTCTTAACCTCACTATAATACGGTTAAAGACCAGGTGAATCAAAGATCGTTTAAGAAAATTTATGATACGGACATCAATTCATGTGATTAGATTATATTTCAAACACGTGTCAATCCAGAATTCATTTATATAATAGTATCATTTAATATCCACATATTTTTAACGAGTTATCTGTTCTCGTTTTCATAGAAACAATGTGAAATCATCATGCATAGTAATAGTAATTATATTAAATTTAAACTTTTAAATTTCTATTTTTAGCCACTAACTTATTATGGCGTAACAATTCCTTAAATTACGAAATTATATAAATACGGTGCCTACAATTTTCAGCCCCTCCAAAAAAAAAAAAAAAATTTATAAAAATAGTCCAAATTTTTCACTAATCCAATTTTTATCATCCAATTTTTTTATATTTCAAAAATCAAGTATGGCACTTTCCGTGAAAAAACCTTTAGCGTACGTAATATTAATTATAGTTTATTTACTTTGTTTATCGATGACAACAGTATGTTTAGCATTCGGTAACTTTTTAAGAATTATTCCGACTTTTTTTTTTTTCAAAAAAAGAGAATTTTTAACACGAAATGACTATTTTGATCTAACTTTTATAGCGGTTAAAAAACGAAATGCATTTATTGAAAATGAAATAAATTTTAAAAGTGAAATGATTGAAATCCTGTAAGTATAAAAAATGATTTATTTATTTGTTTATTCCATTTATTCATTTATTCTTTTCCCATTTTTTTTAGGTATTTGTTAACAATAATAGTAACAATAGTAAGCGTTGGTAAGTAAAAAAATAAGAAGTGTAGATAAATTGAAAAAAACATTAATTATACAATTTTTTTTTATTATAATAGGAGTATCAATGTGTTGCTCATTAACAAGCAATGAACCAAACATATTAGGAGATGGAGGAACTGCATTAGTACAATTGTAAGGATCTTTTTTTTATCGATTTTCTTTTTTTTAATTCAAAAAAAAAAACGAAAATATTCCTTTTTTTACAGGATAATAGCAATAATATGGATGATATTACCAGCTGCATATACAGTGCTAACTATAAATGAATTAGAAAATTATGATTTCTCTTGTACAAAATCATCACACGTATGTACGATACGTAGAAATAATTTTATATTTATGTGGATTAATAGTGGAATAATGCTTTTATCGACGTTTACACTTTGCTTTTGTTATTATGGGATGGAAATTCAGGAAGAAGAAATTATAGGTATACCACTTAGTACAAATACTGAATCAATTCAGGAAGAAATTATAGGTATACCACTTAGTGCAAATACTGAATTATCTACACCACCTGTTCTAAAAAGATTGGGTCCGTATTTTTGTAATTAATTAATTTCAGTAATGATAAAAGGACAATATTTAACAATTTTAGGATTTTAGCCGATCCTAAATTTTTAATTTTTTGATACGCACTGGATGCGTAAATTGATACTTATTTATCGTAGATATACAGGGACCGATGCTCTAATACTGTGATGTGCATTACGTAAATATAACATCAGTAATTTAATTACAATTATAAATAAAAAAAAAACTGTGAAACAATTTGAATTCGCTTGTTATTTCTAGAAATTTTATTACATTAGCTTTAATTGGGTTGTGATTTTTAAACTGGCTAAATTATCCTTTAAAATATTTGCTGTTTATGTGAAAAAATTATGTAACTTATTATGGATTTTGTGTGTCAATTTTGTGGCGCAGCCGGCCGATTGTGGCTCATAAAAAGTGATGTAATTTTGGCTGATCTCGCAAATTACTTTATTGATCTTTATAGTTGATCTTATTCGACAAAAAAATTTTGATCATTTTTGGAAAGAATAAATCAATCATTTATCCGAATCCTAACTTACATCTGCATTATGCTGAAGTTTAAAAAGCTTCATGTCAAAGAAAGGATGACGTTTCATAATTTCATGTTTAGTAATTAATTATAAAGAAACAATTCTGACCAGATTAAAAAATGAACACCGGCTGATAATATTTGATAATCTCATTATCAATTAAAAATTATAACGTTCCCGAACAACACAACTTGTGCTAATTCATTCGGGTAAAAGTAAGTCCAGTACGTGGTTATTCAGAGGGTATCCTTTATAACTTATAAGAACAAAGTGCGTTTTGAAGTTCCTAAATTGTCATTGAAAAAATCCTTAGAAATATGCATCAAAGTCAAACTGGATTAAAAAATTTATTTCGTACAACTAATGGATTTTTTTTAAATACAAAAAAGAGGAATAATTTAATTAGAATTCAATAATAGAAGTAATCTTTATTCTTTAAACGAAGAAAAACAATAATAACACAAAAACGCCAAGAAGTAAAGTCACGTTACAGAAATTATAGAGCACATAGAACACATGAAACATGATTTAAATAAAAATGTTTATATTGCATTTGAATTGTTTGTATCTTTTTGAATCGTACAACAATGTACAACAATTGTAAAATGAGATTTAGCTTATCATACAGAAATGGAAACAGAAATAGAAATAACCAATTAAAAATTCTTGATGGAATATTAATAGAATTGCCTTATTGAAACTCCCCGAGGGTTTCATCTCAAAATAGAAGTTGGCTTTTTTTCCCTTTAGCTTGCTTTATTTTATATATATCAGCGTTTTATATACGTTTAACGTTTCTATGAAATAATTTACGCTTTGACCTTTATTGAACTAGCAAGAACAATTTCAAAAATTGCAGAATAACAAATATATTCCTTTTTTTCTGTTTCCTATTTATCTCGAAAAAGTTCTGCGAATTTATTTTCAAAATGGTAAAATGGAAAAGAGAAAAAGTTCAAGATCATAAATTTGATTTTGTTGATGTGGAGCAATTTGAAAAAAAAGGTTTTGCTAATAAAATAAAATATTCATACGTATTTCTTATAGTATTAAAGTCTGTTCTTGTATATCTTGCTGATTTATATAATGCTGGAGGGTTAATATTAAGTGACTTGGGTGATAAATGGGGAGGAATTACTCCAAAAATTCCTTTTAGTATATCAAGATGGGTCTTTCTGGGGTCTGTGGTTGTTTCGTTCATATTATTGTTCATTGAAGTTAGAAAAGCAAAAAAAATTATAGCTTCGGGTGACATTTCTTATGCTTTTACGAGTACGGTAGCTACTCGTTATTATACGTTAACGAGTTATGCTCATTGGTGTTTCTTTCAAGAAATAATAAATCAACAAAGAACACAAGATAGAATTGCTTTCTTTGTCTTTTTCGCTTTCAAAGGTAAATATATTTTTTCATCATTTTATTGAAGAATTTATATTATATACTAATTTATTTATATCATTCCAATGTATATAGGATGGAAACGTTTAATATTTTGTGATGGGCCACGTCAAGTAATTAATGCTTTCATTTTGTTCGCAATTTATCAACAAAAAGGTGTACATACAAATTTAAAGATATATGGTGGATTATATAGACAAGCTTCAATTGCTGTTATACTTTTCACTGTCACGGTGTTTGTTGTGTCCCTTTTATTATTGCTTTTTGCGTTTCTTCTGTATCTTCCTCTTTTATGTAAAATTCGAGGAAATTTAAAAGAATACTGTTGCCATATTATAGATAAGAGGTATAATTTCTTTATATAATTTTAATTAATATATATTCTTTTTTAAGTTTATCAAAACTTCAATATTAATCTATATATTTTTTTATTTTGTTAGAATTGCTGAACTTCTCTTAAAACAAAGGAAAAATCGTAAAAAAGATGGAAAAGCTTTAAAAGCTCCAAAACATCTTGCTGGAGTAGCTCCAACGTTACCAAGCATTGATGATGATAAAGAATCATATAACCAAATGTCACCCCAAATGCGTCCGCCGGTTGCATACGGAATGCCACCACCAACAGACCCATATATAATGGGAAAGCCTAATATTCCTCAAAATTATTCTCCACCTCCTCAAATAATGTATAACCATCAACATAGTAATAGCGCAGGATCTTTGGAAGGTAGAATTGGATTTAATAATCCATATATTGGTGGAGGTAATGATTCATCACAAGGAGTTGCCCCAATATATAACGCAAATGGTCAATTTATTGGTACAGATAAATATCCCGAAAGGCCTGATAGTAATAATTCAAATTCCGCATATTCTGATACATCGACTAAGTATTCAGCTGGACAGGGAAGAACCCCATATCCATATCCACCTCAACATCAATATCCTTACCAACAAATGCCGAAGGGCGGGTTTAATGATAATGTAGATCCATATGGTCAAAAAATTCCCTATAATCCTCCTAATCAATATCATGAACAAAATTATTATGATGCCAATGATTATAATGATTATGATTATAATAATTATTCACCATCTCAAAAATCACCTCAAAATACACAATTTTTTCCAACAGAGAGCGCTAGACAACAAATTACAAATGCAATTCCACCATCACAGAGAAATAATGTAAGGTATCAACAAAATCGACCTTATAATAATTATCAATCACAGGGCAATCCAAGATATTGATTTAATTTAAAAAGAAAAAATATTATAATTTAATTTGTGTATTTAGTATGTAAAAAAGAATAGATGATTAATTATATTTGAAAATATAAAAAAAGAATGTGGGTAACCTTTCTGTATCATAATATCGTAACATCGGGGGGTATTTTTTTTTTTTTAACTTTAATATAATATAAAATTATATTGTATTTTTAATTATCATTAATTAAAAAAAAAATAATAAAATTATAAAGGTGTAATTATTAAATGTATTATTAATTAAAATCATCAAAAAATGATGCGTATATTTCCTTTTATCAATTGATCTTTTTCGTTTTTAACGTGTGACATTACGAACAATTCGTTGCTAGCTTTCTTTCGGAATATACTGTGGTCGTGATGGGTTGATATTTATTATACTACATGCTCGTTTAAATTGATAGCAATGCCAATTTTAACCTGTCTAATAATAGCATATTAAAAAATTATTTAGTTCAAATTTTTTTCTCCAACTTTTTTGATACTAATAATATCAAATCAAAAAAATAGAACAATTTTTATAATCTACCATTGAATTACTCACTGACTTAGTACCTTAATGGGAAAAGCATTGAGCCGATAAGGAACTGTGGTGAACCCGAAAATAATTAATTCAGTTATCATGGATATTTCATTATACACAAATTTACGATTTAGAGTTAGCATATTCACCAATTCTAGTATATAATTTTAAAACTATGCAATCAATTTTTTTAAATTACTTTTTTAGTCTATGAAGTAAAAAATTTTAACCCCTATTTAATACTTGAATTGATTAGAACTCCCAGATATCGACATTTTTTTCACCAAAATTGGAAATTTAAAAAAATAGTAATAATAGTAAAAATAAATTGAGGACGTTCATGTACCACATTAATTTTGGCCCCGACATGATTTTGACGTAAAAAGATAGGTTAAATAAACATTAAACCCTATTGTTAATTACTTGTCTATTCTAAGAACAAATTATTAACCATTCATTCATCATTATTTGATCATTAATTAATACCAGTTAATAATTAGATGCTAATGATTTCCAATATACTGTATATATATATATATATACAATGATGTGCTCTTGGTATATTGGAAGCATTATTAGAAGCACCTTTGGAAAAGATTGGAAGCATAAATTTTTAATAAAGCCATTTGGATTGGAAGCTTCCAACCAAATTTTTATGCGATTGGAAGTACAAATGTACATCACTGTTAATATACCTATATATATATTATATATTATAGAAGAAATCCAATCAAATTTAATGAACAATTTTTTACGTGAGAATGATGAATTTTTCAAATAATTGATTGACAGGTTTGTAAAAAAATATTTTTTTTACGTGTTTACACAAGATCATGATAATGTACATTATTTATGGTGCGCAGTATCAATAAATAAAGATGCAATAATTTCTTTATATCAATTGTTGACCAATTAAAGTATCATGAACAATACAAAGAAAAAAAGGAGGTGGTTAACATTAAAAATATTACTAATCTTTTTTACTACTAAATTAAAGTTCTTTTTTCTATTAAATGAATTTACTTTTTTATTTATTTATAATTTTTGAGATAGAAAAAGAAATAAATTATTTTGCTAAATGTACAATTTAATTAATACATTACCATATATACGAATTTTCATTATTGTGATTGGGAGGATAAATATCAAAAGAATCTCTATCATTCATAATTGAAACATTATCTAATTGATTATGATAATAATTATTGTTGTCGTAGTTGTTACCATATAAAAAGCTATCTCTATTTAATGTAGGAGGAGGAGGTAATAAAACGGAGAATTGATCAGAAGAATCTCTTTTGACATTTTTAGAATAAGAACGTGATAAAGTAGATGATATTCTTGATAATAAACTTGAACGTAAAGTAGAAAAGGAAGATAAATGTTTTGAAACAAATCTTGATTGATTAGTGTTGATTGTTGTATCATTTCGTAAGTAATTATCGGACGGAAATAATTTATTCTTTGAAGAATCTAAAAGTAATTGTTTCTTTTTCTGAACTCTTATTAAAAATATTATTATTAATAAAATTAATGTGCCAAACCCAACAGAAATTGATATTATAATTAATAATGAACCCTTCCCTCCCGAATCTGAAGCTTTATCATCTATTTTTCCAAAAGAATAATTTATATCGTTTTCTTCAACGCATTTCCTTTCAGTTGTATCATCAGGTGCATTTTTATCATACTTCTCACAATAATGAGTAAGACATTGATTAGAAGAAGTACAATTTTTTCCAGTACTTAGTAAAGTTTGACAAGTTAAAAGATCTTTATCACAATATTTAGATTTCAATGGACAATTTCCTAAATATTCAAATATATTAAACCAAGCAGATTCACGACCCTCAAACCCTGACCCGAATTCACTGTTACTTAATAAATTCATTATTGTTTCTTTAACTTCTAAATTTTCCGGTGGTTTAAATAATTCACATTTTGGATTAGGGATTTGACCATTATTTAAGATCAAACCATCTAAAGGACTAATCCTCCAACCTAATTTTTCTGTAGGACCGCAAAAGATATTATCACCATCTACAAAACAATATGGTTTTTCTAATGTACAATTACTTATTACTCCAAATTCCGAACATATATCAGGTATGGTTTTTGAATAGAGATTATTTGTAGGAAAAGTTTTTGTAGGTGTAGTTGATGGTTCATGATGTTCATAATGTTTAAGATATTTCGTTCTAATATCATTTTCATTAGCGCTCTCAATCTCATGAGTACTTATAACGAGACCAGCTCGTAATATTATTAATAATAAGAAATAAATTAGAATAAGACCCATAAAAGTATTTTTAATTGAGAGCGCTAAAATACATTTAAAAAAAAAAAATAAAACTGAAAGAAAAAAAATAAAATTAAACGTTATTTTATTTGAAACATAACTCCTAATGTTTGATTAAATCTTTTTCCGATGATGTACAATTAAAATGGACACGTGTATACAAATATTTTATTTTTTTGTATGATTACTACCATGTTCTTTTACTAACCAAACATACGCTCATTCAAAATACTAAAACAATAATCCGAAGAATAAATTTTGTGCGACTTAATATTACCTAAATAGTATCAAACCAACAAATCTACGGCATCATACTCTCGTTATATTCTTTTTCTTCAAATTATTATTATAAGTCCACAATACCTTTTTAGGGTATAACCGAATTTAATTTTTATAAATTAAAGCTTTGATCTAAGCGAAATTTTAATTGGTAAATATATTTTTTTGTTCCACTATAGTCGTAAACACAAAAAAAAAGAAAAGAAAATTCTATGATACCGGGAGCCGATCAAGTCAAGCAGGATTTCATCTATATCGAACCTATGTGGTTAGACGGCTTAAAAGATTATTAGGCAAATTTGTGTTACTAACGCCACGGTTTTTTTTCTTTTTATATTATACAATGGATAAAAAACAAGAAGCGACAATCGTATTCCTTCTTACAGCACAATTACTAATTTAATACATTCATTATTTGAATATATTATTCTTCTTTTCAATCAAGAATGTGATAATACAATGAGATTCTTTAAAAAAAAAAAAAAAATTTTTTTTTTTTTTTTTTTCTTGAATAGAAAAAAAATTTAATTGATATTTTTGTATTTTTGAAGGGATGACAGATAACAATCTTAGTTTTTTGTATCACTTAAGATCGTATAAATATTTACCTTTTTATGAAAATTATTATCCGTACAACCAAATCAAATAGAAAAAAATTATTCTTCTTTTTTTTCTTTTTTCTTAATAAAAAAAAAAAATAAATATGCCATATTGTTATTGCTTTAATGTGATAGTCAAATTATTTAAGAATCAATCAACTACACCAGTTCCAACCCTACCAACAGAATGTATGGAAAAAATATTTTTACATGTCGGATTGAAGGAAGAATTATTTTCTTGTCTTCTCGTTAATAAATATTGGTGTAAAAATGTTTTACCTTTATTATGGGCGAACCCATTTGATGGTTTAGAATCATCAAAAATCAATAATTTTAAATTAATAAGAATGTATCTTGCTTGTCTTGATAATAAAGAATTGAATTCTTTAAATTCTTATTTAAAACATCATAATATATCACTCTCAATTTCCTCAAAACCTCTTCACGATTATACCTCATTTTTAGAAGAATTTTCTTATAAAAAATTGGAATTGGCAGTTTCATTCTTTCTTCATGAATGGCATAATAGAGATTATAATATAGATTATAAAGAAGAAATTATTTTTTATTTATCCTCATCAATTTATAACCTTTTCATGAGTCAAGCCACTAATTTAAAATCCTTAAAGATCGATCAACATTTTCGTCGTTTAGATATTCCTGATATTTCAACATTCTCTAAAATTCAACCCGTAATTACTTTATCAAAAATTACAAAATTTCAATTAGATTATGAAAAACCTGTTAGTAATAATTTAAATAATTTTTTAGAAATATTACCAAAATATAGTACAGAAATTAAATCAATGGAATTTAAAATAACTTCTTTTGAATATAAATTTGATATTATAAAATTGATTGGTAATATAATTAAATTACAAAATTGTTTGGAAAATTTTAGTTTAACCGGAGTACAAAATTGTGTGGAAGATTTAATGCCAGAATTACATTCAAAATCAGATACTTTAATTAATGTTAAATTTAGAAATGTTCATTTTACTGAACATTCATTAAGTTTATTATCAAATTTTAATAATTTAAAACATTTCGAAATTTGGTATTGTGATGGTTTAAGTTCAAATTCTTGTAAAATTTTATTAAGTGGAGATTTTCCTAATTTAAAAAGATTACATTTAGGATGTTCAGAAAATCAAGATCTTATTACAGCTTTTTTAGATAAAATTGGTCCTTCAATAATACAATTAGGTTTAAATATTATAACTGATGGAACAATTAAAGCAATATTAAATAATTGTACAAATTTGAAAGATTTACAAATTATTGATTATCATCCTATGGATCATCCTGGATTTTTTAAATTATTCCACGGATTAAAAGGTTTAGAAAGGTTAAGAATTAAAATTAGTCCTGATAATAAACATTATGAAAAAATGATTTTATGGGCACGTATTGGAGCTCATGATTTACCAATTTCTTTGAAATATTTAAAATTAGAATGTGGTTTACCAATTTATCAACTTAAAAGATTTTTGGATCCACGTAATAACAAGGTTACTCCTCATTTATCTACCTTGATTATTAATGATTTGAATTTTGATTATTCTCATATGGAAGTAATTAGTGATTTTGTTAAGAAAAGAGGAATATTAAAAGTTTTAGGAATTGGTGGTCCAACAAAATTTAGTTGGAGAACTTTAAGAGAATTTAAAACATTAAGAGAAAAATATCGTGTGCATATTATTCCAAAAGATGATTTGGACCAATGGTAAAAGAAAGAATAATAATAATAATAATAATAAAAAAAGAAAAAAAAAAAATATTTAAACATTACGATAAGATTATCTGCGAGTGGCGCAGGATATGCTCATATGCATACTTAAGCATAACATCCACGTGAGTATTCATGTAGGGCGTTATCCTTTTTCAACAAAATAAGAAAACAAGGACAAAAATGAGCAAAGTACAAAAAAAATAAAAAATAAAAAAATAAAGAAAGAAAGGAAAAAGAAAAAGGAAAAAAAAAAAAAAA